AAAAAAAAAGTTTCAACTATTATAGTTAAGATATGCCTATGTGTGCCCACTTACCTTAATTAGATGTTTAATTTGTTTGTTTCAGTTTATAGGGCAAATTAAGCCCCATATATATTTTTCTTTTCTCATGTTATTCAAAAATATATATATATTTTTTTAAATGTAAGTACAAATTAAGCATCCCAAGAAATTAATCTCTAATATGCTGATCGAAATACAGAAATATATATTAGTTATCCTACCAATGAGGGGTTGGATCAAGTGGCAAACGGTTTGTTCCAGCTTAAATAAGGTCTCGAACTCGAGACCCTGTGTACGTAGTAGTTTTCGTTGGGAGACCCACCCACCATTCTGGTGCGCTACAGCTGGTCGAGTCGGAGTAGTCGGGGCAAAACCCTGGATACCGGACGGGAAACCAAAAAAAATATATTAGTTATCCTTATAGATCCATACATACATTTTTTTTTTTTTGGATAGTTAAATATTCTTTATTTAATGGAGTATACTCCTACTCATAAAACATTAAGGTTATGTTTGGGAAATTGAATTTATATTTGAAAGATGTATTTTAAATACATGTAATTTAAAATATATATTTTTAAATTTATTGTTTGGACTAATATAATAAAAATGAATTTGACATTCAAGTTGTTGATTGAGGCATTTTTACAAACACTTCCAAAGCATTTTTATCATCTTCTCCACCTCCCACTCTTCCTCACCTCCCTCTTTTCCTCACCTCCCACTTTTCCTCTGCCCCTTTTCCTCTACCCCTTTAATGGCTTTTTGTTGCAAACTTTCAACGAGACTCACCTTTTTATCTACACCCAGTGTTGGTCCATCCACAAGTGTTTAATCTTCCCTTGCTAGGACACTCTAGCTGCATGTGTCTGTTGCTCTGCTTTGCTCAATATGCCTTAGGAGTTGTCTACTGTGATGGCTGATCATGTGGATTATTGCGCGCCCATTGCTGGAGAGGAGAATACAAGCTTGCTCCGCCAAATATTTGGTTCATTGTGAGTAGTGGAAGGGTGGGTGAGATGACATCATCCACTGTTGAGCTTTATCAAAATTAGGAGAATTGAAATACATGAATCTAAATTTGAAATACATAGGGTTAGAAGAGAATTTGAAATACATGGATTTTAAACTAATGAAATACACGAACCTAATTACATGTATTTGGGTTAAATTCAATTACATTCTTATTTTGTGAAAACAAATTGTGATATTGAATTTGAAATGACCAAATTCAAATACACTCTCCAAATATCATATTCCCAAACATACCATATTAATCAAACATAAAAGATTTCTCTCCATTCCACATATCAACAAGAACATTACAATTTTAACCCTAACACGTGGATTAATACAGAGCCAACATAGGGTTAAAATTGTAAGTACAAAAAGAAACAAAGGAGAAAGAGCAACCCGACTCATTGTCACACCCTTAAAAGTAATTGTGACGCCAATTTTTTCTTTTTTTGACTATTTTTCTCAGCTCCCAATTTTATTTTTGTTACTTACAATTTAAACCCTACCACGTGGATTAATATGAGCCATCATAGGGTTAAAATTGTAAGTACAAAAAGAAACAGAGGAGAAAGAGCAACACGGCGAGTCATTGTAACACCCTTAAAAATAATTGCGACACCAATTTTTGTTGACTATTGTTCTCTGCCCCCATTTTTATTTTTTGTACATACAATCTTAACCCTTTGGTGGCTGCGTACATGGAGTATCCTAATATTTTCATTTTTTCTATGAAAACAAGGAGACAAAAACAGGTGGGAAGAAGAAAGTAAAAATTAGCTAGCGTCAGACACAATCATCCTTCAGGGGCAATAATACTCCGGCTCCATCCTGCCGCACAATCCGGCTCCGCCTTCCCCATATTATATAAATACCCCCTCCCTTCCCCACCTCGCTCCACTACACCTCCTCCCCCTCGACGCAGCTTCAATGGCGGACCGCTCCGTGTATAACTTCTTCAGCCAGAGCCAACCTTCTGCGGTCAAACCCAAGAAGCATGCAGCAGCTCCATCCACCACCTCATCTCCGCGACGTTTTCCTTGCTCCTACTGTCCCCGGGAGTTTGACACCTCTCAAGCTCTCGCCGGCCATCAGAATGCTCACAAGCCCGAGCGAGGCGCTACTCGGCAGGAGGCCAAACCCACCCAGCATGCAGCCGGTCCGTCCACCAACTCATCTCCGCGACGTTTTCGTTGCCACTACTGTCCCCGGGAGTTTGCCACCTCTCCAGCTCTCGCCGGCTATCAGAATGCTCACAAGCGCGAGCAAGCCGCTGCTGCTCGGCCAAACTTTCCGGTCGCCGACCAGCAGCAGCACCTTCCTTCGAGCCCAGTCCCTCGGAGCTTTCTGGGCGTTTCGACTGCTTATGCTCTCTCCACTACCACTGATGTGGATGATTCTGCCAATATGGACCTCACTCTCCGCCTGTGAAGGGCTTCAGACTGAATGGTGATGAAGGTTTTATTAATAAAATGGGTTTTGAAGTTTGATGATGAGAGTTGGTTGGCATTATTCCTTCATTCTTGTTCTTCCCAGCACGAGAGTGGTCTGCTACTAGGGAGAAGTCTTTTATGTTTGATTAATGTGTGTGTAATGTTTTATGTATGTAGGAGTATACTCCATTAATTAAATAAAGAATATTTATT